GTTAACTTGCTAATGGAGATTTACCACGTTAATGCGGTTATGGCGTTAACGTTATATTAACGAGATTAACGCTGACAGCACTAATATATATATGAAGAAAAAAAGCAAGATGCTTAAGACTGAAGGGATAATACCAAAGGACACGGAGAAGATTAGACTATATACACATATACACAAAAGGCTAAAAGGTTGAACTATATATACACAGGCAGCTGATTAGGAAGTAGATAAAGGAGTGGAACTGAACACAGGTGCACAGGATAAGTAATTAACACAAACCCAAAGCAGGAAGTAAGTCTAACACAATGCATGAAGGAAGACCAACCTTCAAAATAAAACAAGGAAGAACCATGAAAATTAATACAGACATGAACACTAACACACTAACAAGATGCCAGACTGGAAAACAAAGGGAAACCAAAACATTAGCACAAAGAGATGAACATGAGACAGAAAACTATAATCAATAAAACTCTATATTCAACCCAAACAAAGGATTGTAAAACTGAAAATAAACTTGACAGGAAAAACGTAGTCAAAAGAGGTATTGAATTTGCTCAACAGCCATGATCAACATACCCAAAAATGAAAACTTCACACAGCAGAATAACAGTAAAGCTTAATCAGAACCCCAAACTCAAAAATGTTCACTATGAATTCAAAAGCACAAAACCTTAGAACCATGACAGCAGCTAATTGTAGTTGTCATGTTTGCACAACTGACAGGATGTACACAATCATATATTGACTTACAAAGTCTCATATAGATGCCTAAAGCTCTAGAGTGTATCTACTGCACCTATGTGAGAAGTAATGGAAGATACAGCAGTGCTGTGAGGAGCCTATACAACAGTTGTCTTCCATTTGATCAAGCGTGTCCTATCACTGCACTGTGTCTGTGTGTGAGTGTGTGTGCACATGTGGGGTAAAATCGGGGTGTTTCACTGCTTGTGTGTGTTATAAATGGTAGTAGATGGTGCTGAGCTGTCTCTTTGCTTTAGCTTCTGTGTGCTTGTGTTGCCTGCGCTGGTGTCAGTGATGCAGTCTGTTGTAATTTTTAAGGAGAAAAGAGAGAGAGTGAAAGACTCCTGGGACTGATGAAGTACACGTACACACACACACACACACACACACACACACTTTGCTCTATAGTGAAAATCTACTGCAGAGAGTTTCTGTGGCAAGACTTTTTCCTCGATACAAGGTTTCAGTTTGTCTTTGCTTTTCAGGATTCAGACCACCTTACCATAGAGCCTTTCCTCTCTCTATATCCTTACACATCTGTCTTTGCAAGGACTAATTTGACTTCTAGACATCTGGAGTAAAGACATTTGTGGAAGGCAAAGACATTTTGGGTTGTTCTAGGCTTGAAGAATTAGATTTGGGTTAAGGTTAAGCTTTGGAGCTAATGCACCTGTGTATAATGTCTGTCCTTGTTTTTCCTTTGAGAATTTCAGCCATGTGAACTTTGACCTGTTCCCTCAGGTCAACATCTAAACCTTCACTTATAGATTTCCATTGGTTACACAATGGATGAACGCACACTCAAAGAAACATACACACTATGGGAAAAAGGCACACTCAGATAATTACATTTATAGATTAATTGAATGCCTGCCATTCATTTCAATAATGCAAGCTTTGATTTTCCTTTCTCTGCCCCTCTGTCTGTTGGTCTCTTGTCTCTCTCTGGCCAGCCTCTGCTCCTAAGTTGCGGATGATTAGCAGCCAATCTCTGATGGAAGGGAAGAAGCTGTACTTGAAGTGTGAGGCGTCGGGGAATCCCAGCCCTTCCTTCCGCTGGTACAAAGATGGACACGAGCTTCAGAAAGGCAGAGACCTCAAAATAAAAACCAACAAGTGAGTGTGCCAAAGCGTATATTTTTTCTTAGGGTATGATGTAAAAACCAAGAACTGTCATCCACATGTACTATAACAGCTGCTTTGGTTGATGCTATCACTCCGCTGTTCTACAATGAGTAACCATCAAGTTAATATAGTTTCATAAGAATGAGTTCAATGTTATATTTCTGCCTGGAGTTGATGTGACAGGTTTCTCTTGCTCTATGGAGCATTTAATCATCTTTCACCTTTTAGAGCTCAACAGTGACCTCCCACTTTTTAAGGGCTCTGCTTTGGGAAGTGAGTTTTCCATTCATTTCCTCCACTGACATTTCAGAAAATCCCGATATAACGACTTTAACCTCCTAAGACCTGAACTCTTTCATGGCATGCATTTTTAATTTCTTTTTAAGAACAGTGGCAGTGTAATAAGTGCAGTTTTCTAAGTGGATATCAGATCCTTGTAGAGCAAAATGTAGTATTGACCAGCAGTTAGCCGTTTGGTACCGGGCTGCGAGAGTTGAGGCGCGAGTGTGAAATTTATGTGATTTCAGGGTTTTTATCATTAACTCGGTTTCCCTGGGTCTTTTCCCATGTTGTAGTTGTGCGTCTTATTGTGAAATAAATATTTATGCGTTACCATAGTGACCAGAGAGCATTAAGGGACAGAGAGGAGGATGTTACTCTCAATGTTGTTGGCACATTTCAGGAGGACGCTGCTAATAAAGTTACACAATTACACAGTGAATTCACATTTATTATTATATTTACAAAATACCACAGTTTTTGTCTTGGTCGTAGCATTTTATTTTGTTGTATTTATCCTCGACACCTTAAAGGCCTGTCCGTTAAAATATTGTCGGATATTAAACCGATCCGTGGCACAAAAAAGGTTGGGGACTGCTGGTCTAGACAACCCAAAATGTGATGTCCTCATATGTGGATACCAGGTCCCAGGAGGTTAAAGTCTTGAGCCGAGCCAACCTGTGAATTGTGGCCATGAAAAGATTTGATTTGGACCAAAAATGAAAAGAAAATGGAAAAAATGGCAAGGGTACAAGACTATGTAATTAATATAATCACTTTTGACAATGAAGGATCTACCCAGCTTGTAATCTATTGGAATTCCCAGATTCCACAACAAATGATGTCCGACCACAAATGGGTTTTTTTTTTCATTATCATAGTCTTGATATATGTTTTAGTTTGTTCAGTAAAGTAAAGTCTAGCTGTCAGTGTGGTAACGTGCTGCATTTCTTACTGCAATCACCCTCCTCCCAGTTGTCCAGGGGTTTAAACATTTCCGTGGTAACAGTGACCTCCGCCAATCAGAGGCATTGCTGTTTCACTTTAGCAGTGAGAGTAGAGTAGTTCTTACTGCAAATAAAACAAATAAAACCTGTTTCTGTTAAAATAAGGTTGATATACAGATATTTGGTTTCATGATGCTGTAGCCTGCAGCGTTATCGCTTATAATCAAAATTCGTATAATCAAAATGGAAAATATGAATATTTTTACTTAATTTCACTGTTGAGCTCTCTCGTTTTATTAGTAATACTCATGTGTACAACACTCTATCTTTGACGATGCACAAATAGATCCTGTGACTTTAGGTAACGCCACGTAGCTGTGCATATTGAATACAGAGAAAAGAGCCCTACAAACAGCTGAAAGCAACAAACACAACTGCAGCTTTTGTGATTTGCATTGATGACAAGAGACACGTCTGCGTGTGGGGCTCAGGAATTTTTAGCACAGGACGTTTGGGACAATAGGATGTTTTTAGTGCACTGAGAAAACCTGGTTAAGATGGAGGTTTGAAACGTCTTCTGATTGCAGGCAGTATTGGAGCCTACCAGCTCTAATATGCTTCAGGCTATGTGGACTTTATTTTTTTCTCTAAGTTTTCCTACCCTTTACCTGCCAGAACAGCATCCTCTCTGTGCAAGTGGAGGTCCTGTTTTTCAAGTTGACCACTGGGTGCTTAACCTACATGAAAAACCATAGTAGTCAGTATCTTAGAGATCCCCTCATTCATATATAACATAGGCCAAGTTCCCCCTGGCTAGTTTGGGGGTGAAGGGCCGGTGTGCCGTAGTGCTGTAGTCTTTCTCTGCACAAAATAATAAAAACATGCACACAAGGTACAGTTTGATAAATACATGCTCTCAAATTAATAAAAGCAATACTTTTTTCCTTTCAATGGCTACTAAAGTGTTAGTTTCCAGCTAAAAAAAACTTTAGAGTCCCATAGTACACTACCGAGTCATCGTCAAAGGCCTGGTGGGGTAGTGGTTAGCACTGTTGCCTCACTGGAAGAAGGTTCCTGATTCAGACCCCTGCTGGGGTCTGTCTGTGTGGAGTTTGTACGTGCTTTCTCCCAAAGACATGTATTCAAGTTAATTGTTCATTCTAAAATTGCCATAGATGTGAGGTAGTGCCCATAATAAATAAACTGTGACTTGATGTCAAAAGTACTTTAAACGGTCAGTAAATGCATGTCCAAACAGAAAACAAAGTTAGCTGTCTTTACATTTATGTATGCTGAAAACAAGTAGATGAATGCTTTTCTTTTTGAAAGAATAATAACTGACATTGTCTCTGCCTCTCTCCTTCCCTTTTGCTCAAGAAAAAACTCAAAGGTGCAGATCAGTCGTGTCCGTGTGGAAGATTCTGGCAACTACACTTGTGTGGCTGAAAACTCAGTAGGACAAGAAAACGCCACGAGTATAATCAGCGTGCAGATCTGTGAGAACAACTTATTTCTATCTGTCCTTCTGTCTATGTGCTGATGTTTGTGTTGATCTATCGCTCAAATACGTCCGATCTTTTGATGCAGGAGTCTGATCATACGAGCACAAACCTTGTTTACGGTCACTGTCATCATGTGTTCTCTTCACATGGCTGGCTGGGGATAACGCAGACACGTAAAGCAGAGGCAGCGGTTGTAAAAACAGAATAATTATTTTTCTTACTTGCAAATATATCTTAATTTTTCAGCTTTAAGGTTGGAATAAGAAAATACAAATATCCCGGGGACCTTTGCACTTGTAAAACCAATGGAGAGCTGGAGCTCACAACAAAGTGACTAATGCCTGTGTACACTGTGGTGTCGCATGCAGGATTGCAGCGTAATGCACTGTGTCTTTTCTGTCAATCTGTGTTTCTCCTAGTGACCACCACAACCCTGTCTCCAGGTGTGAGTCATGCGCGGCACTGCAATGACTCTGAGAAGTCCTACTGCGTCAACGGAGGAGACTGTTACTTCATACATGGTATTAACCAGCTGTCCTGCAAGTAAGTTTATTTCTCAGTCGGTCCCCCGTCCTCTCAGCCATCACTGTGTAGCTCCCTCTGTCTCTCCACCCAGTCTCTGTCCCTCTCTCTTTCTCTCTGTCTATCTGTGATGTCATTGTTGCTGGTCACCGTGTCTTCTGTTCCTTGGTTATGATCGCTCGACATGCACACCTGCAGCCCACCTGACCGCTCGGCTGTGTCTAAAGGCTTCTTGTCTTCACTTTTCACCAATTTGCTCCAAAAACATGCAACCGATCTTCACCTGCACATTAATGTGCCCATTCACTTAATGCTTTTGTTTCCAAGATGAATTCATTTTAGAGTGAGGTCTGTCTGTGAAATGGGAAGAAAAGCACAGGTGTTGAACAAAACCTCGCCTAATGTATAAATGCCTTTGGATATTTTTTTTATTTATTTATTTAACACTGAAAATAATGAGTCCAGACTATTTTAGATGAGATGCAAATTACTGAAAAACTGGTGGAGTAATTTTCAACTGTTAGCAATAAGGCAGTAAACCCAGTGGAAACAATTAGCATCCCTGTCACAAGGGAAAAGTGGGTTTTCTTAAAAAAAAAAGTCAATATGCTGAGTAAGGACTGTGCGCAGGGAAGGTTTATAGATAGAGTGTACGGTCAATACTATACATATACTGTATTTGCAGTTTTTTTAAACAGTCAGTGTTATGTGCAATGGTATTGTGAAACACATTTATGCTAGGTAACAACATACAACGTACATAGCAGTCCACTTGGAGCCCTTCGGGATTTAATGATGTTTCTAAGCCCAGCCTTGCTCAGAAGAATTAAACTGGCTTGAAAAGTTGAAGAGGACATCCTGCTGACGTTGTATATTAGCAGCTGTCTCTATTGTCGGTCACTCTGTTGGCATGTTACCATGAAACAATTTGCAAGCTGAGGGCACTCCAAAGCAACGAGGACAGAAGAGGCATGACGGATTTCAGGACTCATGGACACCCAAGTTTGTGAATAACATATGAAGGAAGTCACCTGGGATTTTTCAAAGTCTAGCTCAAAATAAAAGTTGAACCAGCGTTGCGGATATTACATTTGGGGAAATTTTTAAACGTCACCTGGACATCCTTGTTTGATTTTCTAGAATCAGAAAGCTTGTTTATGAAATGTTTTTATTATCTCTTTATCAATTAGAATAATATAGCAGATGCCATCATGCTGACATTTTTTAGCTGAGGTTAGAAAATAATTTAAGATAAAATCTTTTTACAAACTGTAGTGTAAATCTCTACTGTATGTTGCGGTTGGTCGTAAACAGCTCAAGTGTTTGTTATTTTTAAACAATCTTTAGTAATACGATTCTGTGTACACAGAGATGACAGAACCATATTAGTTGTCATTTAATCAAAGAAAATAATTTTGCACAAACAAATGCAAATACATTTTTTCTTTTCAATAATCTGATTGTTAGTTCTCACTTTCCAAGAAGATGGTCTGACACGACCTCTGTTCTCCATGGAAAATCAACATCCATCTAGCTATGTTAGCATAACATAAACACAGTGAAGCTGGAGGATGAACGCTAACTTTTTTCCACTCGATAAAAGTTAACGTGAGGGTTCCTGATGGTTAGGGACAAATGCAATCGCATGGCAGGATGCCATAAATGGACCAAACTTCAGTCAGGAGAACAACTGAGATAATCCAGCCACAATACGAGGTTAGTCATTAATATACTGCAACAACATGGGAATAGAGCAGCTGTGAGATAATTCCACATTAATGAATCAATGGTATGGAAGTGGAGGAAGAAAGAAGAATGAGTTGAGTAAAGTTTGACTTATCTGACCGTTCTGTTTCGCTTAATGCACCTTTTGGTCCAAAAAATACGGCAGAGGGTAAAATAGGCATCAAATTAAGTGTGGTGATATTTTTTTATTGAAAGATGAACTGGATAAATCTGTAAACCACAACTTTAATCTGTATCCTGCCTGACCCTTGGTTTGGAGGTTAACTGTTAAAAAGATATATTATAGTGCCTTTAATAGCTTTCGTCAGACACAGAAGAACATTATCTGTATTTAGGAACAAACAAACTACAAATATAATGCTTCCATGTTTAGTGCATTATTTGTCTACTTTGTTGTTGTCTCTGTCTGCTTAGCACCCCAGTGAAGTTATCCTACATTTGACACAGAGCATTCCCTGCAGGTTTCTCCGTGCCTACCTAGCTAGCACTTTATGTTGTCCTCTCATGCTTTTATGTACGGCAAAATTCTCTAAGACTTGACAGTGAGCTGTTTCACATCAGCATTTATATGACTAAAGCTACCAACTGCACATCATCCCAGTAAAGTCAATTTTCTTAATGCTTATTTGACTTTCTTTTCTTTGGAGGGTCCAACATTTAACGATTGTCTGGTGGGATCCTTCACAAATATATGAGCACGTCACACAGACAGGCACAAAGAAACCATGTTTAGCAGGTACTGGCTTCAATACAGGGATAATGTGAGTAATATATAAATCACTCAGGCCTGACAAATATTAGTATTCCAGTTATCTCCCCCCTTTACTTCCCATTTTTCTCCTATGCACTGTTTGTGTCACCATGTTTCCTGTTGTCCCAGTAGGTAGGAGACAGGACAAGCTGAGTGACAAACTACTGGTCACAATCATGGCAAGCAGGACGTGAAATGTAGTGATAACTTTTCTGACACAGCCCCACAGTGATTAAAAACTTCACTGCTAATGATCCACTGAACTGTAAACATAAATGCATCACTTCCTGTGAGTGGGAGGATTTTTCCTAGGAAACTGCTACCAGACTGGTAGGTGTTTAGAACAGCAAGTGCAAAAATTTTCATGAACTGAATTCTTAGATGAATCACTGCTGTGTTATATGAACTTATTCCAGAGCAAAACTGTTGTAGCAGACATGCCATCATAACGGATTGCATATGGGAAGTAACAGTATAATGGTAAATACCTGTTTGCAGCTTGTAGCACTTTCTTTTAGAGCCTTGCACTAGAATAACGGAGGTGTTACCTGGCCTTGCACTACTAGCAATTATCTTGCAGGATTTATTTATATATATTTTTCATTTATAGAAAGGTTTGTAAGTTTTATAGACTTTGTATTTGCAGCCAAAGCTTTGTACAAATCTAAACCAGTCATTCCCAATCAAAGCGTTAAGTACCTCATGGGGTATATTTTAGTAGCCAGGGGGTACATGGAAAAATTATATTAACTAATCATGAAGTTCAGTTCTTTAATCACCTTGCTCACTAAAGAAAAAAGGGGAGATAAACACGTTTGAGCTGAAGACTTAGAAGTTAAAGGATAAACGGAAGGCAATAATGAGGCAACAAAAAATTAAAAAGCAAAAAAACTTAAATAATAACAAAACTCATCTAGTTACATCATTAGCCATTCAAAATGTCTAAACAAATAAAATTCTTTAAAGTAGTTGATAAAATATATGAAGGCTATGAGTAAAAATCAAATAAATAGCTAATAGGATGTAGCTGACAACTACAAGAGCTAGCCGGAAAGGTAAACAGTTTTAAACAATTTTAGCTGGCAGTACTTCAGTTTAATCCAATTCCCTTTTATTTATACAGCGCCAAATCACAACAAAAGTCACCTCAAGGCGCTTTATATTGTAAGGTAGACCCTAAAGTAACGCACACAGAGAAAAACCCAACAATCTCACATGACTCCCAATGAGCAAGCACTTTGGC